AAGCCAATTTCCCGACCGAACCTCTGTTTTTCTCAATAATTTCCACTTGACTGAACATAATACACTTAATAATGGATGAAGAACCAATAAACACTCGGGACTTGCGGGAATAAAATGTACAAAACTCGGTATTGCCTTACTTACGACCTAACCGAACACCACATGAATTTTCTCAGAATTTCTGAATTTAAATCGAACTCTTAACCTTATTATGGCCTTACTAACCAGATTACAAGATGAGGAGGAAGTTACCTCGTCAAACGTTCGGCTAAAGACGCAAGGTAGGCGTGATTTCCTTAGCTCCGCGTGCGTGCTTTGGCGAGCGAAAGTTGCCGTGCGGTACTCCATCAATTGCCGTGCGATGATTATGGAAATTTAGGGTAATTAATTGAGCTTATTGCTGCTGAAGAAGATGATAGTATATGGCTGAAATTGATGGTGCAAAATCGGTCCAAACTCCTCTTTTTATACCAAGGTCGAGGGGATGGTGATGACGTCCACTAGATGTGGCTTCTTGTGAGCCTTACACTTGCTAATTAATGGAATAACTAGTGATGACTAATCCTCTTCTAATACTTGTTATAAGGCCACGTGTAATGGTTAAGCTTTGGAGGGAAAATTCTTTCCTTAACACTTAGGAAATATATATATACATTGGGACCCGTACGGCTTTGCATGCCTTGGAAATAATTTGGACGGCTTCAAGTCCTAATGCAATGGATTAATGCTAATTAATCGTCTTTTATGTTTAATTATTTAATTAAACATAATGCTTAATTACCAAAATTATTCTGAACGTAAACGGTACGTCGAAATTAAATTTCGGTAATCTCGACTGAAAATAATTAATTCCGGAAATTAATACTCAACAAGATTAATAAATCGGAATTAAAACATAATTTATACCGATAAAATATCGGGATATTACAGACTGTCTCGGGCTAAACGTCATCGGGAAGTCCTGGAACGTCTCGACATATCGTCTGTCTCGGCATAGACAATGGAAGTCTACTCAAATAAGATTCGCCTAAACGCTTTTGTCGATCACTGACACGACCACCACGACCACCACAACAAGAACTTGACATTTTATAACTAGAATGCATTTTACTTTATAAATATGTGGCCAGAATCAGCCCGATCGAACTACGGGATCAGTTCCAGGCCCATTAACTATGGGTCGGTTCCAGGCCGAATCGTCGGGCCGTGGCAGGCCGTTGCCTTGTCTACTTGAGGGAGACAAGATGTACACTTATGGTTGGGTCATTGGAAAATTGGTATCAGGAATGTTAATGGCGAATCGTATTGAAGAACAAACTTTTCTTTTAATTGTTCAATTATTCAAATAAGCTAGCTACATGAGATGACAAACGTCTCCTTGCCTTTCCACAACTTGCTAACAAAGCTTCCTAAACCTATGTATGCTAAACTACTAGCAAGCACGACCTTCACTCTTTCTCGTCCAATCACCAGCCTACGCACTATCATCCATCTCAACCTCTAATCGACCGAAGGGTTTATGTTTGGCTGCTTCTCCACAGACAAAAAAGCACATACAAGAAGAGTCCCTTTTCACACTCCCACGTGTCGATGGACGCAATTACACAATTTGAACCGTAGTTGCTTTGTTTGAAGCAACACTATATTAACTAGGATTACAAAAGGTTTTTCTCCATCAACTTCTGCTGTAACTCAACAGCTTCATAAAACATGCCTGCAGAACGTACGCCTTGCACGACGTACGAACATAGCGAAGGATCGTGCTTGATCTTACTTGCAGCCAGCATTTGGACAACAGGAACTGCACTATCCACTTCTCCTTTCTGGCACAGCCTCTGTATTATGAACTTATAACAGTTGTCCCTTATCCTCCGCCTGTTTTTAACCCCAATCAGTTTCAACAACTCAACGGCTTCCTCAATGAGGTCCGACTGGGAAAACCCCCATATCATGCAACGGTAGGTGACGACATCCGGAAGGATCCCGCGCTGCTCCACCATATGATTATACATCTCCATTGCCTTCTCCATTAGGCCCATTTTAGAAAACCCATCAATCACGATATTAAACGTAATTAAAGTGGGCACACAATCAGTATTTTCCAGGCAATAAAGAATCTCGATTGCTTCATCTATAAACCCCTCCTTGCAAAGCGCGTGTAATAACGTATTGTACGTGATTATATCCGGAAGGCAGTTTTTTGAAACCATGCGGTCGAGATTGTCAACCGCGCGGTCAACCAAGCCGTGCCTGCACAGGCCATTTATCAAGATATTGTACGTAATAACCATTGGTGGGTGCGAAGAAGTCTCCTCCATGAAACGAACAACCTTGTCCACCTCATCCCAACACGCGGAAGTACAAAGAGAATGTAAAAGAGTGTTGTACGAGACGACATTGGGCTTCATTCCGTGCGAGAGAAGGTCATGGAAAGTTTGGACAGCATCCTCGTAATTTCCTCTTTTACAGGCAAGGCTGATCATCGAGTTATACGTTACTAAATCGGGATAACATCCCTCGGCAGCCAGGTCATCCATGATGTCCAACGCACGACGAAGCCCGAGATTTTCGCACACGGGCACAATGAGGATCGTGTATGTGATCACGTACGGCTCACATCCTTTTCTCAATTGATCTTTCCAGAACCTCACGGCCTCATCAAACTTGCCGAGCTTGCACATGGCTTTAACGATCGTGTTGTAAGAGATCATGTCCGGAGGGCAGCCGGTCGAGCTCATGCTCTCAAGAACATCGACTGCCGAGTCGAGATGACTTTTTCGGCACAAGCCACCGATCAGCATGTTGTAAGTGATTATGTCGGGGGTCCCGCCTGTCATTACCATCAGCTGGAGGATCTTAGCAGCTTTAAAAGTCTGACCGGAATTTAAAAGGCCCCTGATGAGCTTTATGCAGGAAGGGTAATTGGGGATTTGATTCCTACCGGTCATCACGTCCACTAACTTTGCAGCATCTTCTAACTTTCCGCGGTTGCATAAGGTTCTGAGGATCTTGTTGTTTGTATTCTCGTCGTTTTCGACGAAGGTCCCGCCGTTGGGGATCTTTGGAAGGTGTGTGAAACTGCCGTTGGATTTTTTCGCTCGACCTCTTTTGCTCATTAAGACAGTAGTTGTTGATGTTGTACCATGAGCTTCACTTGTTTGTAGACGGGATTGTGTTCTGCAACTGACGGGCGCATTTGCGAATGGCAAGCTAGCCTTTTTACGAGGATAATGATTGGTGCTGATGATAATATCTGGCAGGCTGTGAACCCCAACAATTGATTTTTGTGGTAGAACTGTATAGGCCATTACTGACATCCAGATTAAAAGAAAAAGAATGACCTTTTACAGCATAGCTTCTCCAAAAATCCCGTCCTACATCACCCAAAGAACACCCGAAGAACTAAAAATCAAAATCAAGAAATGTAAAACACATAAATAAAGCAAAATCACATAGTTTTTCCTAAAGTTACAAGATAACTAACGGTAAGTCACCTTTCAAAGACCACTAATCAATCGTTTCATATTGATACCTTCACATTTTCAGTTTGACACGACAGAGATAAGTCTGTGACGGTTTAAGTACTATCAGGTCGACAATTCAAGCATATTATAAGAAAATGAACATATGAAGCTTGATCCCATTTTCATTTTGCTTTTCGTCAAATACTCCGGCGACAAAATAACAGATGACAAATACCTCTCATATGAGAATAAGAACATCATCTTGCTACAGAGGAAGCAAATATATGTCTGCTCGCACAGTTCACGCATAGTATGCATTTTTTCAAACTCAAGTAAAACCCTCAATTCTTGCTCAAATCAAATCCGAGATAATGTGAAACAACAGCAAGAACAAGTGTAACAGAATCCAAAAGCCAGTTGTAATCAAAACACAACAGCAAGCTCTCGTTACACACTTCGAATTGCAATCATAATCTTGGTGTATTATTACAGCACCTGAAGTAGATAACGTTGGCAAAACAAAAACCAAACCTTGAAATCTCCGGCACGAGAAGCGGTTGATGAAGATAATAACGGAGATAAGAGTCAAATTAAACCCATGAAATGGTGGAAGCAAAGAGGCGTAATTACCAAAGGAGGGGTTAGGGTTTTAACAAAAAGTTGTATTGAGGAAGGTTGCATTTTGTTTCTTTGGGTTAACATTAGATATGGAGTTTTTGTACATGATTTTTTTCCCAAAGTAATACTACGTGGTGGGCACATTTGAATATGTCAACCACTTATATGGTAGGCACATATTGATGATGTATTTTTTTAATATATTAACATTACTAATATGTACATGCCACATAAGCTGTGATCATATATGTATGTATGTCACATAAACAGTGGACATATTAACATATGTCCACAGTGAAAATTATTTTTAAAATTGTAAGTAAAATTAGTATATACTAAATAATAATAAAATTGATGTAATATAATATAACAATAATAAAGCAATGTTATTTTTATTTGCTAACCGTACATTTTCTTTAATACATAACAATTATTGTTTTAATCTATTTTTTTTGGAAAAATATGAGATGAAGTGAAAAAAAAAATGTTTTGATTTACAGCTTCAAGGGATCTATTTTGATTAACCGACCAAAACTGGAAAAAAAAAAAAAAAATTGACTTTTTTTTATGTAAATTTTAATTTTTTTTTTTCTGAGTTAAGATGATCCTTCTGATGAGTATAGATCCTAAGAACACTTGGAAAGCACAGTACAATAGAGAGTTGTACGCTACGTTCGCGAAGAATGAATCTTCCGAAAAGGAAGGTTAGCAGGGTTTGTCGGTGCCTGAGTCCCACAGATAAGAAAGTCATACCTAATGTGGCGGGTTGACAAGTCAAGTTTTTTTCTGATTAAAGTCAACACGGTTGCAGCAGTACACCTATTGTACGGGGATATCCTTTAAGCATCTGCGGTTGAATGGTTAAAGCACCCAACTCATAACTGGTGAATTTGTAGGTTCAATTCTTATTGGATGCGCAACATCATGACCCTCGAACGGGTACAAATGGAAATCGTCTTGAAATAATTGACTTCACAAGCTGGCCTGCTTACAGTGCTAAAGGCTAAAGATTCGGGTAAGACAATCAGTCATTCACAACCACTTTCACAACCACTGATGAAGGATTCCTCGAAAAGTTAGGTCAGATGATTGCACTTCCACATTTTTCTGAAAAGTTGGTTCATAGTTGGAGCAGATGTGGTCTCGACAATTCAGAAAAAATTCAAATTGAATAAGAGGTTTCTCTCCCATCCACGAATCAGTCCAAAACTGAATGTCTGAGCCGTCCCGATGGACCATCTCAAATGTATGTGTTTTGATTAAGGTCGTATTCTATGAAATTATGTCAATACTTCTCCATAATGGGTAACGTCTTAGACATTTTACTTTTTTCTCCAAGTGAATCTTGGAAGACTAATTTGAAACAAAAGACGGAAGAAAGGCTGAGAAGAGTTTCCTACCATTTTTCCACAAGTGGAATACTTAAAATGTCTATTATTCTATTAACGTCCCCCCTTACGTATGAAAGTTAAGGAATGTTTGATTAGTTCTTATGATTTTTTAATCTTTTCTACTACGCAATCTAGTGTCAGCAAGTGACACAAAACAATGCGAGCAAGGTAGAGCTCGACAGAGGGTTCGAGAATAGGGTCCTGTCCATTTAGGGAGGTCTTACTTTTATTCCTTATCCTAAAAACTAGTTCATACCATCATACATAGTGTTTTGAACTAAGGTTTCAAGTCTTCTATGTTTCAGCAGTAACATCTTCATCCCCTTACTCTAAATATAAGCTCTCCTCACTAGCTCGACTAGCAGTAACATCTTCATCCCCTTACTCTAAATATACGCTCTCCTCACTAGCTCGACTAACGGGAGAGGAAAGTTGTAGCTTCGACGTTTACTCTAAATCTAAGTTCTCCTCACGAGCTCAACCAACGGGAGAGGAAAGTTGTAGTTCGACGTAGCTGCCCTGAGCTTCGGGGTGTTGAATTTTACACACCTTGGTCCATACGTAGGTCAGCTAAACGGTATTCCGATAGCAGTTGGAGTTATGGATTTTCCTTCGACTAAGTTGATGTGCACTTTTTCGGGTAAGATGTTGTAATACTACCAGGGGCGAAACCACAATATTAATTAGAGAGGCGCCAAAAAAAAAAAATAAATAAATAAATTCGAACTAGGGGTGGGAGGTTTTGCTGGAACTGGAAGGGCGCCCTTTGAGCGCCCTTCCGATGTCGGAGTGGGGGTGGTGCGCCGCGGGATGGCCGGAGGGGCGCCACCGGAAATTCGGAATCCGAAAACACAAAGCAGCTGAGCAGGGAGGCACGGAGCCATGGAGGAGAAGCTGGATCGGAGAAAATTTGTGTTTGTGTTTGGTTTTGTCGTGATTTTTTTTTTTTAAAGACAAATTGGACCCTCCCCGAAACGGGATCCTGGTTTCGCCACTTAATACTACATTACTAGAGAAACAGGTGAAAGCAATTTTCATCCAAGATTAGCGATTCCATATATTTTAGCTATTCTCAAATAACTAGTGTAGATGCACGAGACAAACGTAGTAAAAAACCATATCAATGATAGTCGTTGTAATATGAAAAATATTATTTTTTATAAAGTATAGTTATGTAATATGTATATACTATTTGAAAGATTAAAGAGGGTTATGATTTTCAGTATTTGACATCACATAGTAATTTAACAAAAAGCTTATTAATATATCCTTTTAATATCATATATTTTGTGTCTAGAATAGTTATTTACATAAACTTTTGTATTTGAATTATGAAATGATAATAGATAGCATGTTTTTTTTTTAAAAAAAAATATAAAGATTATTTATCTAAAAAATGTGATAAGATATGAAATTTACAAAATTCCAATTATAAAACTGTTGTTAATTATATATTTCTATCTTTAGCAAGTATTTATTAAAATTTGGTAGTAAAGATTTCTCCTTCAGCAAATCTTTCCTTGATTTCCTTCTACTAATTGATTCTGTAGCACTATACATCAGCTCCACTCTCTTAACTAAACAGCCAATATAAAGTCTTAGACATTGAATTATTTTCTGATGAACAAAATTCAACAATCTCACAAAATAAATAAATAGTTTTAAATACTATGATTCATGCATGTTGATGTTCTCAAGAAGTTTTATCTTCCATATTTCATTATTTTTATCACTAAACTTATCATCTTATACCTAAAACAGGATGGTATTGTGCTCAACACACATTTCTATCATGTTATAAAAACAGTAGATATTAAATAAGTTTACAAATACAGGCATAATGACAAAAATATCAATACAATGTACAACTGCAAAGCACGTTGATTCGAGGTTTTGTCGACTAACAAGACTAGGCTGCAATTCTAACACACTACAATTTTCCTTCTTTTTTTTTCCCGGTTCGAAAAAACATCTCCTTCATTGTCCCGGCAAACTTAGCCAGACTTCGATTTATTTAATAAAAAAGAATGCCTTGTGGATAGAGGAAATGCAACCTCATAGATATTACATACAAGGCCTTTGTCATAAAGGTTATTCTTGACCACTTGAACTTCCTCCAGACGTGATCTTCTGAAAAAAGCTGTCCATTTGCTCCCTCGAGTTTTCCTTTCTTCATGTAGTTCGCCTAAGCTCGCTTTCAGGGCTGCTTCACTTGCTTTTGCCTCGTTTACTTTCCTCTGCCAACTCATGTGCTCTTGCCATTTGAAACTCTGCATTTTTTAAGAATTGAATCGGGCAACTCGAATGAAATTTGTCAACTTTTATGCTAACATGTTGTTTTCCCATTCACAAATGTTAACGACAAAAATGTATCAAATGGGGAAAACAAAAAAGAAAGAAAAGAAGAATGGCTAATGAATGTGACGATATATGTACCTCGTTGGTGGTAGTGTTTGTGATGCAAAGTTTAGCATGGTAGATGAAGAAACCCGCTATCAGAAGAGAAATTACGGCCAGAAATACAATGATAAGTATTTGTGTGTTGTGAGAGTTCAACAGCCACTGCCAATAATAAGACGAGAAAATTATCATCAAAAGGTATTTAAAACAACCCAGTATGTTTATCTACAATGCATGTATACAAGTGATCTATCCATTATGGATCATGTGCATGCTGCTACATATATCCTCACTTTAGAATTGCAAAATAAATTATATTTGGAGTGAAAGATAGTGATGCAAATATAATGATAGTTTACGCACTACAAATATGTGAAAGTACGAATGTATGTTTGACTTTGATGTATACTTCTTGTTAAATTAGAACATGTAAATAAAGAACGACAACAAATGATTAATTGCTTAGTTTCCTGTATGCAATAAACGAACCTCTTGGTTTATTTGAGAAAGAAATATATGAAGATATGCATTTGGTCTAATTTTCTTGATCCGGCTTAGGAGATATCGTCAGGTCTTAAGTTCTGGCAAAACTACTGGCAGACTTCAACAACTCTGTGTCCCGATTCTGGGACTCGAATATGCATTTTGACTATGAATTTTAGGAGCAAAAAAGACATTTTACTAGTTGGATAATTTAGTTTAGGCGTAAAACAATCAGATGAAAAGCCTTGCAACATTAGCAGTGGAGATCTTGGCTTGAAAGGTATTTATGCTTGAGGTTGAAATTAATTATTTACTCACCTGTACAACAAGTGGAGCCAACTTTCTGAATGAATTCTCAATCCCATAATAAGCTGCAGCATCAAATGCAACTCGGCTATTAGACTTGTTCGAGAACCACGAAAAACATTTTTGAAATTAGACCAATCAAACCTGTTAGAATGTGGATAATTTGTTGTTCTTTCACTCTTCCAGCAAGAAGCAACCCAAGTGCAACTATCCCATATATACAGAGGAGCAAATGCCTGCGTAGGCATTTACAAAACACAATTTAGAGAAATCCAAGATCCAACTTCAGAAGTGTCTAAATATGACCAGCGACATTTTCCAAAATTGCACGACCGAGAATTACCTGTAATGCAGGATTTATTTATATTGAACTTAACTAAAATGGGGGTCTCATGCAACCACTCGGGTTAAAACTAAATACTAGATTATCACCAATATAATGATACATAAATATTGTTAATTTCTGCAATTTGTTCTTTACTTTTCACGTGCATATATACGTACAGCTTAACAATTTACCTCAAAACATTTTTAAAAAGCATTTTTAAATTATGTATGCGCTTTCTTAGAAACTCAGCCGGTGGTTGCTATTAAGGAAACGCCATTGTTACCTGGCAGATTTATACTTGTAAGAAAAATAGTGCCTCAATTACATAACTTTCGTGCAGCCAAGTTAGGAAAACTGCACTTTCGATATTCCGTCATTTCTTCCGGACATATTTACATATCACAGCTAAAAGAAATTTCAGATCAAAGGCAACACTAACATGCCTTTTTGGCTCAGTCTATTACTCACCAAATTAGAAAAGCCATGAAGTATCTTGTGTTTCTCTCTCCTATGCAATTGTTCTTCAAAGAAGAGAAAATAAATAAAATAATTTAAGACTATTTTAGACAATATCAAAATAATAAACAGAATATAATCACCATTAAGATATCAGAAAGAGAGTTTAGCAAGCATACCATCCAAGCACAGTGGTGGTCAAACCGAGCTACACAGCGATTACATATGCTACAGTGCTTTGACCTAGCAGGTCTAACAATGCAATAGAACAGAAAGAAAAAAGTAAATCAAAATACTGTTTGCAGTCTTGTTATTTTTACGAATCAGACTAAACAAAAAATGGGCTTTACTTGGGAATCTTGCAGGTTGGACATTCTTTCTCTGAGAAGATAATGTTGTCGTATGGATAAGCTGAAAGGTATTGAGATACATTGGTTGAATTTACCACCCCTGGATCAGAAAAGCTAGTAAATAGAAAGAGGAGAATACCCACTCCAACTGCCAAAAAGCTTGTGTACCTATTAATACATAACTTATGAGTATGAGTAACAAATCTTCACCCCCGATTTACGGAATGGTCAATCGAAATCATCCTAACCTTACGAAAATAAAGCAATGACAGTCACATGTACCTGTGCGCTCCACTTAGGTAGTATCCTGGAATGTAGCTGAAGGATGATTGCACAATTAAGTAATAAGTTCCACCCACTATTAATAAATATATTAGCTGCATGAACAGAAAAAAAAAAAAAAAAATGTGTTGAAAATTCTTTCCAAGTAAAGAATGCTGGATTTTACGATCCAGCATAAAGTTTTAAATGTGTTCAAATGCTATTGAGGAGTAGGTGAACTGTAAGAAGGTAATGCTCTGCACTACTTCAGATTTATGGAAAGTATATTCTTGTCAGTTTTCTGGCAGCACACACACACACACACACAAAAAAAAAAAAAAAAAAGTCACTTATGTTACAAATTAAGGCAAACCCTGCGAACGGCTCTCTAAAGTGGCAATTCCTGAATAGTCGACAAGGGCAAAAACAAAAAATAAACCCACTTTTCTTAACATGAATTACTTCCATACATGGAAAATGTTTCCTTTTTCTTAATTGCGATTAGGGGAGGGCAACAATCATGCATCGATGAAAAAACAGATGCAACCTGAAGACGCCTTGTCATTGTGAAGTTCAGAGATGTGTGAGATAAACTAATTGCCAAGTATGTAACTGTATTTGTCCCAAAATATCATCATATATATTCAAGAAACTAGATATTTTTAATATTTCCTGAACGAAAAAAGACTTGACTAATGATTGGACGACGCTCAAATAATGCGGGACAATATCTTAATCAGTTAATCAGTAAGAACACACATATATCTGCGGATATTACACTCTCAAAGTCAATTGAATTCGCCTCATGTGAGTCAAGAGAGGAAAAAGAGCATAAAAGGCAATCTTCCGACAAAAAAAAGCCTTAAATTATTTATCAATCAAGACAATACTTTCCAAACCCACTGCTAGGAAGAGGTTAACAAGTACGATCCATGTTTTCATAACGCTCAAGATTTGTAATTTATTTCACTTCTAGAAATGATATGGTGATTTTTACAACCAAGAATGATTATAGAATCCCAAATCTCAGAATCTTGCTCCTTTTTTTCACTCTAACCTAGTAATCCAAGTTACAAGTTCTTAATCCATAAACAAGTGGCAAGAATTCCCACCAAACTGCCCTTGGTGCTATGTACTAGCGATCATGTAAATAATTAAACCAAATGGGGCATATAAGATTGCAGACAGGAAACTGAAAAAGAAGTAACTTGACGAAACTGTTCAGAATCACTCAACAATCAAATAAGTTCGTGACAGGCATGAGAATACAACCAATATAACGTGCCAACAAACAATTCCATACAATAGGGACCTATGAATAATTGTCGTATATCGTTTGCAAATTTCCATAAACTAACATTGGTGATAAATGCAATGCAAGGCGTACAGTTAGTCAAGTACCTTAAAGAACCAGAGAAAAACACATGCACACACAAACCATGATACTCGTCGCCCAATCAAACGAAACCCGATTTTAAACACTTCAAAAGTTTCATCACTGAGTAAAAACAATCCAACTTTACACACCAAAAAAAAAAAGAAAGAAGGAAAACCAGCGGACCTGTATAATTGGGTTTGGCCGGTCACAACAATAGTACTCAACTGAGTGAAGCGCATTCGTGCCTCTCGACCCGCAAACATAATGCACAAATCGCCTGCGCCATCACCACCGCTAATTGCAGATCAGATTAATCCATCGAACCACACAAATCGCAAATCGCTAAACAATTATTCTCCTTAATCTCATTGAACATCCCGCAAATTGAACAAAAAAAAAAAAAAAA